GTGGTTACACAGGCTGCGCACGGCTGACGTGATTTTAAATTAAAAGCCGTTGGCAAGCAATCGCCGCTGTGGCCGTGCCGTCAGTGCTGGGATAGGTGACCGACCGAATCAAATAGATGACGTCATGGAAACAGGCTGACACACCGTGAACTAACAGTACAATTATCAGTGCCAGCGAGTGCACACAGAAGCTCTTTATGTGCGCGTTTAGAAGTATTTTTGCTGGTTTACCTTATTTCTGCTGTCGAGCTATTAGGCAAGGTACCGTCTTTGGACGATTTGAAAAAGGCCCTGTCGGCCGATCGGCGAAACACCTCGCCGTCCTAACGCTCTCTTACAATGTCATATCGTATAGTCATGGTCGCACCTGCCGCGCACGACTAAAAGTAGTTTGAATTGAAAGCCGTACATTTAAAAATCACTACTGCGGCTCTCTGGCCAGAACTGACATAGGGATCGCCCGAATAACACAGATGACGTCATCGATGCTGGCATGCTGGCCATCACGTCCTTTTTCAAAGCACCGTCTCGCGGCGATCTGAATAAAAGAAGGTCCTGTCGGCCGATTAGCGACATGCATCGCTGTCCGAACGCCCTCCGGCAATAGCATCGTAGGCGCGTGTTCCCACTCTCCGACAATAGCATTGTAGGCGTGTGTTCCCACCCTCCGACAATAGCATCGTAGGCGCGTGTTCCCACCCGCCGCACACGACTAGAGGTTTTGTTTAAGTGCGAACGGTGCTATAAAAACTCGCCGCGGCGGCTGTCTCGCTGGCATTGGGCTGTCTCGCTGGCATTGGGACAGCTTACCGGACATCGTTGCGATGTAACGTGCTTCATGTCATGGCATTCTGCGTTGTCAAGCATAGAGATAAATTGACCCCTACGGTAATCAGCGTGATTGAAAATTTCAGTCTCGTTGAGAATGCAAGACATTTTGACGTGGTAATTGATGGCGGAGATTCTGGTAAGGCGGGAACTTAATTTTCAGCGTGGTGTAGTTTCTCGCGCAAATAAAAATGGCCACCAAACATGCAACTGCAGCTATTTACGTCAGGTTAGAGAGGAACGGCCAGCACATGAGGTGCCTTGTTATTGCAACCATGAAAACGCTAATATAGAAGCATTCTTTAAACTTTCTGCCGATTTCGGTATCGTGCGAGACTTCGGCGAGTCCATTTCGGTCTGCGCGGCACCTTTGGCTGCGAACCACGGAGATGACGAGCATGCCTGGCACGAGCCCGCGACCGCTGGCTGGGACGTTCGTCGAGTCCGGCCGGGTCCACGGCTCCAGCCCGCGGCTCGAAATTGGAGTCGCGCGACTTAAGTTCAGGATGGTACCCGCCAAATGAGCGCGATGGCACGCAGCATGCAGTGGCCACGTTGGGAGATGCGCGTTTGACTCCACTGTTGGCACCATGTAAAACCCGATTAGCGTGCTCACAGACAGACACATTCAGCTGCGACTGAAAGACGGAGCTGGTCACTGGAGCCTCAGCCGTGCCGACTGACATCCGACCTGCCTCGGTGGCTGTAACGGCGCCCTCGTCACAGTGGCAACCTTACATCTTCCCTTCATCATCCATGAACAGTCGCATGGTGCCAACGCCTCAGGCAAACGCCCAAAGCCAAAGCGAGCTGTCAAGAAGTGTGCACCCTTAGACGTGTAACAGATGGCGCGCAGATCGAGAAAAAATGTGGGCACACTGGCATAGTTTCTTTCAACCGGTCTCAGTGAGTAATAAGTATGATACCATCCCGACGTCCAGGGACTGAATTCAATATTCTTAACTCAAGTCCAGGTAAGAGTCCGGCCCCACTCAACACATGATTGCCTAGACAATAACACTGTCAGCCACGCGCGTCGATAAAAACAGACGGCTGCGTGACTCCACTTAACGAGCCAACAGATTCGGTTCGTTCAGACTGGCTCAGCCTTTGAACGTCAATTATGTGTCACTCATTCGTTCCTCAGTCATGATACATGACTGAGGACATGACAGTCATGAGACAAAGTTATTTATCCGGCATTTATTCCACGTTTGTGAGTTAGCATGTCACGCCATGGCTTACAAAAGTCGCACCACAAACGTACAAACGACACAACACCGGGAGTCAAACAAACAGTAAGCACAATTACAAGCGTTCAGTTCCATCGTCTCCACCGCCATAGCAACCCCTCGAGAGCCGCGGCAACGGAGAATCCGTCGCCGCCGCCGTGCTTTAATCGCCTGCCGCCAGGTGGGCTAGTGTCGCGTCAGTCATCCCGCAGTTGAATTGCAGACGGGTCAAGCTGATGACCGGGAGCATTGCAGGCGACGGTCAGCTGATAAACGAAAGCTCTAGTTCATCGGCGAGCTTCAAACCTACGATTAGAACCTCGGGGGTTGCAGGTCACATGACAGCGATTATCAAAACAGCAAGCGCCATCACTTAATGATGGAACTGCAATCGACTCCGACTTCCAAAGAAGAGGCTAAATCCGACAAGATTGCCTCTGTTTAAAGATCTACTTTACTATCTATGTACCAGTTGGATCAAAACAAATATTGCCCTTTCGCTTCACAAGATACATACAGGCAGACCCCCTGGAAATCCTGAAACGATGCTCCACAAGGCTGTTTCGTCAGAATTCATGGAACGCTGAGCGCTTCAAATTGCCCAAATTCAGGTTCTCTGGTGCCGAGTGTTTATTTTACCGCAGTAGAATTAAATGGTTCCACCCTCTGAAAGACCGCCAGAAGAAAAGCCCCTTGTCTGAGGACGCTAAACTGCCACAACATAAATGCCCCAGCCAGTACGAAGTCAGCAACGAAGAAAAACTTCGCAAAAAACGATAAAAACAAATGGGCGTAGCGAAAAACACTAGTCAACATGTGATAGAGTTCTGAATGTAGTACAGCCTTCGTTATGCTCGGCCGATTCGTAACTAAGCTTGATCGTCGCTTAGTTAGATACTAAAATCGTAACTAAGGTTCGTTTGAGAAGGAAGATACAAGCCGACTGTTACGTGAACAATTGCCGATAATGGCGCAACTGTGTGTATGTAAAACCCCCCAAAACCATCGGTGGTTGTTCACATCCAACCCAAACCTTTGTACTGCCCCGTGTATTTGATTACTGCACAGGTCGCTTGCGAGACGTCTTTGCACTGCAATCAAATGTCTGCCTACCACGCGCGTGAGCGAGGCTAGCTCACTCTAGCGGACAGTTGGCAGTTCCTAGTGCCCACTACAGATGGCAGCAAAACTTTCCAGAAACCGGGATACTGTCCCATCACCCGCCGTAGAAAACGCAGAACGCCAACTGAAGGGGCGTCCGACGCCACAGTCGCGCCGGCGTGGCCGCCGCATGGCCACGCCGGAACCGGCCGCCGCCACCAAGGCGTTCTCTCAGTGAGCAAACAAACGGACAAGCGCCCTGTTTCAAACACGAAACGGGACGCGTCGGCGCGAGCGCACTTCACAAGGCTGCTTGGAGGTCCCGCCCTTCTGCACTGGCGACGGTCGGGTCCGCAGCACAACCAGCCGGCTGTGCCAGCGGGAACAATGTCTCGGAGACACCAGCCGTCGGTCCCGGGGGCCTCCGGACTCTGCCGCCTCGGAGCCTGCGGACTCTGCCGCCTCGGAGCCTCCGGACTCTGCCGCCTCGGAGCCTCCGGACTCTGCCGCCTCGGAGCCTCCGGACTCTGCCGCCTCGGAGCCTCCGCACATCTGCCTCAGAGGTCTATCTCAACCCATCTCTTCCACCTTGTCACTCGTGCCTCCGGAATTCCTGGACTCTGCGCCCGGAACCTGAGACTGAATATCTCTCCAGCGCCACCGAGGAGTGGAGTACTGACCGCGAGGGCGGACAGTCGCAGACCTTCCACAAACTGGAGAATGGTGCGCCGCCGCGAACTGTGTGAGATGACCGGACGACGGAGGGGTCGCCACCTTGTAGCGAACGCTCAGTCACAGCACAGCCGGGGTTCCATGGCCCCAGAGCAGTGCGTAGCGGACGAAGGGACGTGGGGGAGGGGGAGGCAACCTCTTCCCGCCTCACATGGTTGTTGCACCTCAAGGCCGGGCGCCATCGCAACGTCTTGTGCGATGGCGCTGAGCAAGGAGCTTAGCGAGTATTGCGCATGCGCGCCATGTGCTCCCAGTCATGCAGGGGCAAGGGTGCATCTGGGGGGGGGGGGGAGGGGAATTGAGAAGGTGCTGGTTGAACGGACTGACAAACCGGCAACAAGTGACAACGCTGAGCGACATTTTATCGTGATGCAAATACAAACTATTTTCTGCAAACTACACCTTAGGCACGTGCAAATACAGTCAAGCGCCAAGCCGAAGACACAGAGTCCCCACCGCATTGGTACGTTACACTCAAACCTCAGCCAATTCGCTATCACTAATGCACAACCGCCATCGGGCTGTTTAATTGTCCGGACTCCCCCCCCCCCCCCCTCCGCCAAAGCCCCCGGGCTCCCGCCGCTCCCGTGCCCCCGCGCCCCCGCAGGTCGCTTGTCAAAATAGAAGCGCCAGCCGCCAGTCGACTCCCGTCAGCCACGCCCTCCTCCCCTCACCGTCCCTGTCTCTCCACATATCCCCCCATCAAGCCCACTGGACGAGAGCTAGAGCGCCACTGGCCGGCCACGGCACGTGTCCTGGCCGTCGCCGACGAGTAAGGACAGCCATCAGCGGCGGCACGCCTACCGCCGTCGCTCGCTGCCTGTCGCTCGCTGCCCGTCGCCCGTCGCCCGGGCAGCTTAACATACTGCATTGCACTCGTGGTGTCCCTGCGCACAGAGCCGCCAGACGCCGGCGCGGGCGTCGGGGGCGCCAGGGCTCCCGGCTGCGCACAGATTCGCCAGACGCCGGCGTGGGCGTCGGGAGGCGCCAGGGCTCCCGGCTGCGCACAGAGCCGCCAGACGCCGGCGCGGGCGTCGGGAGGCGCCAGGGCTCCCGGCTGCGCACAGAGCCGCCAGACGCCGGCGCAGGGCGTCGGCAGGCGCCAGGGCTCCCGGCTGCGCACAGAGCCGCCAGACGCCGGCGCGGGCGTCGGGGGGCGCCAGGGCTCTCGGTGGCACACTCAAAGCGCACGTGAACACTGCACAGGTTAATTATATATCACACAAAGACCCTGTAGCTTTGATTTCGGTCGACATCAAAGGCGAACGCGGCGCTGGCGGCGCGCCACTCACTCCTGCCGGGAGTAGGTCACGTGGTAGTCAGCCGGCGGAAAGTGGTGTGTCAGCACCCGCTCGTAGCCGCGCTGGTCGCAGTAGCCCTGGAACTGCTGCGGCGGCTGCTGGGCCAGCCGCAGCGTTCTGCCAGCGAGCACCTGCTGCCCAGCGGACGGGTAGCTGGCCGCCGCACTGGTCGCCAGCACCGGCGGCACTTGGTGTGCCAGCGGTGACGTCATTTGCGTGGGCCGCACCTGCGGTGACGTCATTTGCGCGGGCCGCATCTGCGGTGACGTCATTTGCGCAGGGCCGCATCTGCGGTGACATCATCGGCGAGGGTGGCTCGGTTTTCATCCGCTTCTCCTCGCGCCCCTTGGCGCCAAACCCTGCCAGCAGCCAGTCTGCGCCATTTGTCTTTGTTTCCGTACGGGGGTGATGCGTCCAAAAGGGGAAACGCATGGCGGTACAACACGTCTCGCCGACACGTCTTTATGACAGCTAATGGGAAGAACGTGGCAGTCGTTCGGAGTTGACGCGCAATCTTTGGGATTCATTCCCTTGGCTTAGCATGGTTCTGCCAACTAAATTACATCACCTCGGGTAAAGATCCCTGCTTGAGCTAGTGCTGATGAGATTGGCCCTGTTACAGTTGCCACAAGAGTGGCTCCACCGATGCAGTTGGAGGTGCTTTAAGTGTATGCCTCTGTCTATTCACACCCACAATCCCTAGCCCCATTCCCCTGGGCAAATGACACCCGTGATACGGACGTTCCTATCGCTCCAGACGAACGGCGTTTGCGCGAGCCAGGCTCTTGCCTCGGGCTTACCCAGAATGTCGTCCAGGTCAGGGTCGACGACGGGCGCGCCGAAGCTGGCGGCGCCGCCGGACGGGGTCGGCTGCCCCCGGTGCCCGTCGGTCCACATCGGTAGCACTCCGGGCGTTGGCTCCTGGTACCTGAAAACGGCCGCCAGCGACCATCAAACAGGCGCTACCACGTCCTGATACCTGACAACGGCCGCCACTGACCCTCAAACCCGCCCCGCCACGTCCTGATACCTGACAACGGCCGCCACTGACCCTCAAACACACGCCGCCACTTCGCTGACCGGAAGCCACCCCATGCTGCAGCGGTCTGCGACGCAAAGCCTTCGCACTCGCCTCTCAGCAACCCACTGCTATTTGGTAGGTGTGTATAACAACGGAATGCAAAGGGCACGCTTTGGACGGTCTCTCCCTTCGATGTGCCGATATTCTAATGTTAACTTACTGTGGGGAGCCGACTCGCGAGCTGCAATGGCTCTTCAGACGCTACAGAGAAAAGGCAATAGCAGGCCACCAAACTGGGAGGAGGGGGTGAGGTAGGGTGGGTGTGGGTGTGGGTGTGGGGGTGGGGGGGGGGGGTGATAGCTAATTATGCTATTTTTCCGGCCAAACACCCAAAGGGCTGATGTTAAATTTTCAGGTAGTTGGGGTGCTCATTTCCCCAGCCATCTTAGATCCCGTACCACGCCGAGTAGCATGCCCATTGCCCAGTCTCACTTCCATCGCGTATTCCCCGCTCCGTGTCGCGTCACGCGCCCGCCACCAGGGCATGGCGCGCCCGCTGCCGGGCCCTACTGACCCCGGCATCCACTGCTGCTGGGGCTCGCGCCCGAAGGAGCACGCCCGCGTGTTGCCGTAGCCCTCGGCGTAGCCCAGGAACGGCTGCTGCTGGAAGGGCGCGGCCTCGGCGCCCTGAGGTTCAGACTGGGCGCGCCCGAAGCCGGCCGGGTAGTCGGACAGGCTCATAGACCGCTGCGCCGGCCGCCGCTCCTGCCGCACTTCCGTCCTGGCACAGGGTCGGCACGTCACCTGGGCGCCGTGATGGGCTGATGCGTGTGATCTGGCCGCCGTGGCGGGGTGAGGCGTGTGATCTGGCCGCTGTGACGGGGTGAGGCGTGTGATCTGGCCACTGTGACGGAGGTGAGGCGCGTGATCTGGCCGCTGTGATGAGGTGAGGCGTGTGATCTGGCCGCTGCGATGGGGTGAGGCGTGTGATCTGGCCGCTGTGACGGGGTCAGGGCTTGTGATATGTCCGCCGTGACGGGGGTGAGGGCGTGTGATCTGGCCGCTGTGATGAGGTGAGGGCGTGTGATCTGGCCACTGTGACGGGGTCAGGGCCTGTCATCTGGCCGCCATAATGCACATAATCTCACTCATTTCGTCACTGCACCCCACTGTTTCTAAGTTCATTCCCGTTCCATCCCTACTTCCCTCACCTCTCGTCTCCCCCGCATGTCAGCTCATGATGGGACTTCATCTCACTTCCATCCTCGCTTACCTCCCCAAACACACTACCTTACCTCTGCACCTACCTTTCTCCATTTTTGTTGTTACACTCGTTGTTACACTCGTTACACTTGTTTACACTCGTCACCCCGCCATTGTTACACATGATTGCCTGCCCCCCTCTTTATACCTCACACTTCATCTCCCCTCTCTCGAACCATTCCCTCACTATACACCACATATTTCACACTTAGCACTAAAGCTCATCTTCTTCATTTTAATCTCCACTCTGCTGCTTCCTTTCATCCCCATCAATTCATCCCAATTACAATCCCCCTTCTTCACCTTCCTGTTTTTTCGTCGTAACCCTCCCTCCCTTTCCTCCCATTCCATCACTACACTCCGCCAGCACCCACTGCTCTTGCTCCCTCACCTGCCCCCCATATCGCTGTGGTGGCGCTGCGGCGGCCCGTGCTCCCGCTCGGGCACGAGGAAGTCAGGGTACATCGGGTACGGGTTCAGATCCATCATGCGTAGCTTATCGACCACCCTGTCCATGTCCAAGCGGGGAAAGTTGACCCTGTGGAAAAGGCAGCGAAAGTGACAGAGCCAGAAGCTGGATCGAGAAGTTCCAATGCCATTTCGTCCGCGAGACATTTTCCACCAGTGATGGCGACACAGGGGGGTCAGACATTGATTCCAGGATTTTCTCCCGTGGGAGCTTCCTCTTGCCTGCTTTTCTTCGAGAGTCGCAACACTAATGCACACAACCACTCCAGGACTCGCTAAACAGCCCGACGATGACCGGCGCCGCGGGCAGCGGGCCATCGTCGCGCTAACGCCCTCACGAGGAAGTGGCGGCCGTCATCGCTGCCGCTAGTGACCGGCCGGCTTTCAGAGGCCGCTGGTTTGGCGGCGGGGGGCGGGGGCCACCGACGCGCGACAGTCGAGGGCGAGACGTGGTCTGGCTCAAGGAGGGTCAGAGGGTCGCGAGGGAGAGCGCGGGTGCAGCACGATTTCATCGCTCTTTGAGGTCGTGAGAGGGAGAAGGAACACATGCAACAGTATATGGTGCGCGCGAGACGGTGAGAGCGGCGAACGGAAGGAGAGCAGGATCGTAAGAATGTATGACGCGGGTGCGCAGGAGCCAGGACTACTCTGACGAGCGAGGTAAAACGAACTGAGAACGAGGTGCAGCGACTGGAAAACTTGGGCCAGGGCACGGTGATGGAGGTGCGGGGCAGGGCGCAGTGGTGGGACGCCGGGCGCCGGGCAACGGCTCACGTGTGCATGTTGTGTGCTTCGGTGAGTGTCCGCAGGTCGGTGAGCCGGTGCAGCATCTTGGGGAACAGGAGCCGCGTGTTCTCCTCGCCGTACTGCCAGCGCATGTAGCGGCGCACCAGGTCCGTGTAGTGCTCCTGCAGACGGCCCGGAAACGTCCCGTCACGCGCGTCGGACGTGTCATGGAGTCAGTCAAACACGTCACGCGGGTCATTACGCTGTCATGGGGCTACTCAGGCACGTCACACAGGTCATTACGCTGTCATGGATTCAGCCAGACACGTCACACAGGTCATTACGCTATCATAGGGCCAGTCAGACACGTCACACAGGTCATTACGTTGTCATGGGGTCAGTCAGACACGTCACACAGGTCATTACGCTGTCATGGATTCAGCCAGACACGTCACACAGGTCATTACGCTATCATAGGGCCAGTCAGACACGTCACACAGGTCATTACACTGTCACGGGGTCAGTCAGACACGTCACACAGGTCATTACGCTGTCATGGGGTCAATCAGACACGTCACACAGGTCATTACGCTGTCATGGGGTCAATCAGACACGTCACACGGACCATTACACTGTCACGGGGTCAGTCAGACACGTCACACAGGTCGTTACGCTGAATTTGCATAAGTCATGTTTGCTATCATTTCACGCCCGTCTCCATAGCACATCGGTCATCATGCCATCCTTTTCATCGTGTCGATTATGATGACTGGCGTTGGGCATGACGACTACTAAGGTCATTTTGCACCCACTTTTCATCGTGTTAAAATTGCACATTTACAATATCGCGACGTTTTGATTGCGCCGTGTTGGTCATTATATTATCGTTGCTGCCATGTGCGTCGTGGTGATAGGCGTGGTATTGGTGATAACGACAAATGTCTTGTGTGTCACCAAGATAGTATCATATTTGTTATTATTATCAAAGATCATATCAGCCATCATATTAACTACCATATGTCATCACTCCAAGCACATTGCTGGTCTCCATACTTGTCATCGTGTCATGCATATCATGACACAAAATATCATAGCATCACCGGCAAGCGGACGTGGAGTACCGCTGAAGGGCAGAGCAGAACATCGCAGATCTAGCCAACCATGTGGATGTCAACCGTCGCTGCAGATATGAACCGTGCTATGGAGACTTTCTGTGCGAAACGTTTTGAACTGTTTAGAAAATAAGGAAGTACTGTCATTACGTTTGCACCCTGATATCCAGTCCAAACCAACGCAGTGGGGAAATCCGGCAAATGCATTTGTAGGTGGCGCTGCGTGCCAAGGCTGACGGACCCTAACCAAGCTGTGACTGCTCCACATTGTCGGCGTCCCTTTCATGGCAACACATCGCCCATTCTTAAGTCCGTAACAGATGCAGGCAGTAGTAGGGTTTCTTTCAGCGAAAGCGACAAAACAGTGGAGCAGTGATCTCACCCCGTGTTCTGCCATGACGTCTGAAAGATTCAGCACCCGCACAGAAGTACGCGGCATGCAGGGCTGTAATATGCCAACGGAACTCTTCCTCTTTTCTACTCGCAGCAGGAATTTGCTGGTTTGTGCTATCGTTTCCCAGTTGCTCCGCTTAAGAATGCAATCAGAATGAACTACGTCACCATCGCCGCGTTTCAGCACGTAATAAAGGTGAGAGGTGCCGCGAACGGTCTCGCCTTGCTAAATTAAAAGTCAAGTAGTCGAGATATTGACCATACATTTTTGTTCTACACTGCTTCATTGAACTGGGGATATAGACAGCCCAACGTAAGTCCATGGAAATCCAATGGTCAGTTTTTGAGACTCCTCTTCAGAGCAGGGGCAGGGCCGAGGACCGGTTTGGGTGGTTACAAATGTGTAGTGTCTTCAGAGCAGGGGCAGGGCCAAGGACCGGTTTGGGAGGTCACAAATGTGTAGTGTACGCCATAGGCCAGTTATTGAACTTTTTCAAACCGTAGCAGGGCACGCACCAAAAAACGGAGCAGAGCATTTAACCAGCGATAAACTAAGACTGTACTGGGGCGTTATTTGGTGCTTCGAGGCCGCGCCCCAGAGTGTATACAGTCGATAGCTGAAGTCCCTATCCTCCGAACAAGGGTGACGAGGGTGCAAACGGCCCTTTCAATTCATGCTGTCTTCTCGTCTGACCGCCCTTGTACGTCAGCTGACACCCAGCCCTCCAGGTATCCTTCAGTGACCCCTGGCATGGGCGCTGCCATGGCTACATACTGACAGTCGATTCCAACTAACTCCTCGTCACGCACGCTGCCGAGACGAGAGCGCAGAGCGGCCCTAAGTGACAAACAGTGACCCTTCGGTCATAGACGTTGCCCTTACCGAGCCTGACAATCAGACCCGGCCACTAAGTGACCTCCAGGTCACGAATTCTGTCGTAACCTGGCCACTTAGGCCTATTCAGGTAACCTCCAACGACCCCTGTCACGAAAGCTGCCACAACCTAGGCGACCTCAGGTGACTCTTAGCGACCACTCGTCGGTGCAGCTGTCGTGATCTCACCCCTCGGTGCGACCTACGGTGACCTTTGCTGACCTCTATGGCGGCGACAGCGGCCGGGTCGGTCAACTCCATGCGGTCCGAGGAGTACAACACCACCATCTGCAGCAGCATGAGCGTCGTCTCGTCCAACCCCAGGCTCCGGATCATCTGCAGACCCATATGACCAGTCATACGGTGAACGGTCAACAGTCAGATGATCAGTCAGACGGTGAACGGCCGACAGTCAGATGACCAGTCATACGGTGAACGGTCGAGTCAGATGATCAGTCAGACGGTGAACGGCCGACAGTCAGATGATCAGTCAGACGGTGAACGGCCGACAGTCAGATGATCATTCAGACGGTGGACGGCCGACAGTCAGATGATCAGTCAGACGATGAACGGCCGACAGTCAGATGATCAGTCAGACGGTGAACGGTCGACAGTCAGATGATCAGTCAGACGGTGAACGGTCGACAGTCAGATGATCAGTCAGACGGTGAACGGTCGACAGTCAGATGATCAGTCAGACGGTGAACGGCCGACAGCCAGGCTGCGCATGCGCCTCCCACCAGTCAACGCTCACGGAATGCTGCGAAGCGAGGATTGTGAGGTCACTGTCCATCATTAAGAGGGGCGTAACAGAAGAGGTGGGACTCAGGGAAGCTTGAAGCTTCTTATTATTTACTCAGTCATCCGCTTCGCGCCTGAAGGCTATGGACGAGTGGGATGAGCCGTGGCCTCACCCACCTCCCGGACACGTGTGATGAGCGGCGACCTCAGACACGTGTGATGAGCCACGGCCTGACCTACCTCCCGGACACGTGTGATGAGCCACGGCCTGACCTACCTCCCGGCCACGTGTGATGAGCGCCGACCTCAGGCACGTGTGATGAGCCGCGGCCTGACCTACCTCCCGGACACAGGCGAGCGCCTGCGCCCGGTTCCCGTGTCCACGCCACGCTATGGTATCCCCGCCCGATCTCCCATGGTTCCCATGCGTGTGATTAAGTGCCGTTCGAACGCCATGCGTTGTGAGCGTGGGGTCACTGAAATGCGTGACTGCCGTGGGCAATCTGCCAGATGGGGATGGGGGGCTGGGCCGCAAATGCGCTGATATAATTTGCTTCCCGTAAAGGCAGCCGTCTGTGTGGGTCGATACATTATAACCCCAAACCGATCTAAGTTTGGGGTATAATGTCCTTGATCACGACGAAGGACTTATTGAAAGCCCTCCATTTGCGCCGCCCAGAAGCATCACTCGTTTTTGTTCAAGTGGGAGTTAGTGAGTTAACGAGCGCGGGTTCGCACATCACTGAGAATGTTGGATGCGTTTTTTCACGATACGGAGCAGCAGGACATAACGTGCTTTGGAAGAATTGCTATGCGCTGAACAAGGGAATGTTTTTTTTTCCAATAACGTGTTCCAAATTTCCCTATGCACGTCCCGGCCTGCGATGGCGATGCTACTTTTATGAGCCATTGGTGCTTACAGCAATGAGTCATCAGCAGCCGCCCTTCCGCATACACTGATCTTATACGAATATAGCACAGTGCTTACAGGTAAAACAGACACAACTGTCACGTGCAGCAAACAGAAAATCTCAGCTGGCTCTGGTCTGCTTCTATGGTCTAGTAAGCTGACTGTGGCCTGTTTCCGTGGTCTGGTCGGCTGACTCTGGTTTGTTTCCGTGGTCTGTTCAGCTGACTCTGGTCTGTTTCCGTGGTCTGGCAGTTGACTCTGGTCTGTCTCCGTGGTCTGGCAGCTGACTCTGGTCTGTTTCCATGGTCGCGTCTGGGGGTGCCCTGCTATTCCTTACGCCAGGGGGGGGGGGGTTTACCCCTCAGACCACACGTGTGCAGACCAGCGAAAGAAGCCTTGATGGTGCTTACTCTGTGGAACTTGAAGTGGTGCTCATAGAGCTCGGGAGACAACAGCGACTGCATGTGGCCAATCTCCACGGTAGGCGCGTGGTCCGCCTTCGGCGATGACTTCAGCATGAACGAATTCTGCTTACTGTCGAACATCATGGCGCCCCGGAGGATAACCATCGCCAGCACGCCTGCGGGGTCCGATGGCAGGTCAGCTCACATGTGTCAGGAAGAACTTAGGTCAGTTAATTCTGGGTCAACTCAACTCACCTTAGGTCATCTACGCCATTCAGGTCGTATTGGGTCATTCCATCACTACTACCCACGCGGATAGTTGCATTTTCCATTCCTTTGAACACAATTGGCTCCAAACCATACCGATGTTAATTCGTCCGTTTCATCGCCTAAAAAGAACTAAGTAACCAAATAATAGCAAAAATCGGAACCTGAGCTTTACGTAGAAAATGTCATACATACACTGAAATCTAAATACACTGGAATGAACCCTGGAGCAAAATACACTGGAATGAACCCTGGAGCAAAACACTCAGGCGCGCTTATCCACGCCGTCAAGCTTTCTGTTGTCGCCATACAAGCTCCGCAGGCGACTCTGCTTAGAAACAAAACAAAACTTGACATTATGCCCTCGTACAGCCACGGCATGAACACACAGCCGCCTGTCAGGCAGTTGAAACACACAGCCGCCTGTCAGGCAGTTGAAACAACTTTGCCTAGAAACATTCATAATTATGCCGATGAAGCTATCTGTTACCTAATCTGGTAAGTTTGCAATTTGACTGCCGCAATGCCGAGTCAAAGTGGGAATTTGAAGGACATCACACAACATTTGATGAAGACATCCTGAGAAGACTTTTGCAGGCGATTCGGCTCGAAAGACCCTCACTCTGATGAAACTTACCAAATTTTTACCACAGTGTAAACTTATTCGGGCTTTCAGGTTTGAGTGGAAACGGGATGTAAAGCTAGAAATAAGCGCGAAAGCATTTTGCCGGCACCTTGCAGTATTATATCGGTGTAGCTGCCAATTCATTAGACACTCCCTGTTCGTTTTGATCGGTCAGGAGTGCTAAGCACATATGAAACGTTCATCAGCTAAAAGCGTGCAAAGCACACTTTCAGCTCTTTCCATGGGATCTACGGTCACCTGAGAATATCGAAACAAAAGAGACAGAGAAGATTCCACGATGGCCCGCAGCTCGTTCAAAGGAGCACATCTCAGAGCTGCGGTCCGTTCTGCTCACAAACTGAGCAGCTCGCTCAAAGGAGCGCATCTCAGAGCTGCGGTCCGTTCTGCTCACAAACTGAGCAGCTAGCTCAAAGGAGCACATCTCAGAGCTGCGGTCCGTTTCTGCTCACAAACTGAGCAGCTCGCTCAAAGGAGCACATCTCAGAGCTGCGGTCCGTTCTGCTCACAAACTGAGCAGCTCGCTCAAAGGAGCACATCTCAGAGCTGCGGTCCGTTTTGCTCACAAACTGAGCAGCTCGCTCAAAGGAGCACATCTCAGAGCTGCGGTCCGTTCTGCTCACAAACTGAGCAGCTCGCTCAAAGGAGCACATCTCAGAGCTGCGGTCCGTTTCTGCTCACAAACTGAGCAGCTCAGCGGGTCGGCTTGTCAGGGGAACGCACCGTTCTTCAGCAGGATCTTCTGGTCCGTGGCGTTCAGCTGGCGGAACCGGCCGAGCTCGGCGACGAAGCCGACCAAGCGGGAGATGGAGCCGATAAACACGTTGACCATGATGCTGCAGGGCGTTGGGTCTGAGTCCGAGCCCTTGACAGTGGGCAGCGGATTGCTCTGGTACCTGCGCGACACAGGACAGGGTCGGTCGCGTCTCCCGGCCATCTGCATCGTGAAAGGCGGTCTGCCAATGACGCCGAGGATGTCACTGGGATTGGCTGGGGTGGGATTTGTGGGGGGGGGGGGGGGGGCGAGCTGATATGGCCAAATCGTTGGTCTGGGGTCAAGCCGGCTATTCAAGTGGCCAAGACATTGAGACCATGCCAGCATCATTTACCAGAGTAGGTGATGTCCGACTCGTTGGACTCTGGCCTGGCGGTCCAATTGGATTCCAGTTGCCTTTTTTGTCCAGCGTCGTAAGGGTCAGCTAAACTATGTCATATGAAGCATCGCGTCGTGTGGTAAGATAACCATGAGTAATAGGAGCAAGCTGAGCCTCATGGAGCTGACCTGGCACTGGCGCTGGCGCCGGCCTCAGTGGACTGGAGCCGGTTAGCTCGATCAACATTAGAGTGGCGGGCACGGAGGCGGCGAGAGGTCGAGTTACCGTCGCCATAGGCAGTGAGCGCCCCCAGCGTGCTGTGCACGCTCTCATCTTACGCCACTGATAGTTGCTGCACTTAGAATTGAGGTCCTAAACACCCAGGGCTAAGCCATATCGACTCAGTTTTCTGGTGAAAGTACCCCGAGTAGATATTTCACGATACACCAAATCACCGCAGTAGGCGAAGACGACACGCGTGAGGCAGTTTAGGTTCAAGATATTCGAATGGCCTCTTTTGACCTGAAATTTCCCCGTGAAAGCACACGACAATATGCTTTGATTTCCATCAGCTTTGATCTGTGCATATATTCAAAGATATGTCAAGATGGCGAAGGAAACGCAGTTTTAACCTCGTTTGACCCAGATGACAAGTAAAGCGCAGAAAATACCGATAAAGAAATGGATATATAACTAGATGTACAGCGTAGAGCACGAGTTGTAGATTTCGCGTACGCGTGCCTCCATGTCACCAATATTCACTCCAGTATATGGAGCATGGAATCGGCCGGGGGCCGCACCCCTCCCCCTTCCTCCCTGCGGCGAATGTGGCGGCAGCGGCGGCAATGGCGCCCGTCAGGTCAGCTGATCTTTGCGGCGAGCAGACCGCCACCGCACACCGCCACCGTGCACTGCCGACCGTGGACACGTGCTGGCCAGCCGAGACCAAGCCCGGCCATGAGCCGACTGCAGCTGCAGCCTTTGCGAGCTGATCGCCTTGCCAGACGAGAACCGACCATTCAGCTTCAGCTGATCGGCTGGGGCGTCAACGGTCGGCATGGTACAGGCCAGCCGAGGGTGACACCCCCGCCGCCCCCCCCCCTCCAAGCGCCCCCGCTGGCGGCGACCTAGGACCGCTGGCCAGACAATGACCATACCATGGCTGGTATCGGTTACTTCCTCGCGTCTCGCCCCCCCCCCCCTCAATGTCTCCGCCTTCACTCTTCCACTCCAGCCGTGTTGGTTGACTGGTCCGGCGGTTTTCTGGCTTCCCGGCCCTGTAGTTCGCTCGATATATGGCCCTGTGGCTTCTTGCCTCTCAATTTCATTGGTTCTCTGAATCTGTGGGTTGTTGGCGCATTGTCTGACTTCATGCTGGTTTTGCGAAGCCTCCGGGTTTTCATGACGTTTCTTTTCCTATTACGCCATAGGGAAAGAAACGTCTTGGCGTTAAGCCTTGCGCTTGTATTCCTGGAATCTGTACTGTGGACATGCAATGACGCATGTAACGCACATCGTCATTCATGCTTTAATGAAACGCCAGCGACTGCAGAGGCCGCATTAGCGCTCAGTGGCCATGACGTAACCGGGGTTCGAACCCGGCCGTGCGCCCTTGCCGGAGCATATACGCCTGTGTTGGCCGGATCTTGCATGTTCTAGCTCTATCAATGACTTTCCCTTCATATGATCCAACACCGTTGGCGCATCTCGTCCTCCACAATGCGACGCGCCCTAACGGCTTTTCTCACGGCGAGCTGCTGAGGACCCTAGGGTGGAAAGCGATGCACTGCACGAATGCGCGCTGTGGTACAAGCCGTCCGGGTTACGCGCGTTCGTCTGGCTGACTTAGAAGAACTGCCTTTGTAAATAGCTCACGGGACCCGACGAAAAAGTTTAGCAGCGGCGCTCAGCAGAACTGCACCGGCAGGTGGGTGGGCATCGATTTCGGATCGCCCATCCACGAAAGGTTCGAGAGGTCATCGTCTGGCGACTGAACACAAGTCGCTGAGGCCAGTTTCACGGCTTGAATTGGCAGACAGGCGTGAAATGTCAGCTCTAAGGAGCTTCAGGCCGCTGCCGCTTCAGACGGGCTGGGAGCGTCAACGCTCCGAGCCCGGCACTGTCTTCACAGCAGCTGTGACGCTCCGGGCCCGGCACTGTCTTCACAGCAGCTGTGACGCTCCGGGCCCGGCACTGTCTTCACAGCAGCTGTGACGCTCCGGGCCCGGCGCTGTCTTCACAGCAGCTGTGGAGAACCCATCAGCAGCGAGCCGAAAGTCCGCCACGCTTTTCGCGGTGTTCTGGTGGCTGCAAATGCTCTATCATTTGATTTACGTCAACAAATTATATCCGCCGTCACGATTCTCCGAGCCGTCTTGGGCCTCGGAGCCCCCACGAGCCTCGGAGCCCCCACGAGCCTCGGAGCCCTCATGAGCCTCGGAGCCCCCACGAACCTCGGAGCCCCCACGAGCCTCGGAGCCCCCACGAGCCTCGGAGCCCTCATGAGCCTCGGAGTCCTCTTGAGCCTCGGAGCCCTCACGAGCCTCGGAGCCCCCACGAGCCTCGGAGCCCTCATGAGCCTCGGAGCCCTCTTGAGCCTCGGAGCCCTCACGAGCCTCGGAGCCCCCACGAGCCTCGGAGCCCCCACGAGCCTCGGAACCCTCATGAGCCTCGGAGCCCTCTTGAGCCTCGGAGCCCTCACGAGCCTCGGAGCTCCCACGAGCCTCGGAGCCCTCATGAGCCTCTGAGCCCTCACGCTCCGCCGCCCCGGCAGGCCCTCTCGGAGACCAAACGGCGAGTGCAACGTCAGCCCCCAGTCTTCCCGGGACCCACGGCTGCCCAGATCCTCCAATGGTACTTTGTCTGCTTCTTTGGCCGAAAGACTACGCTTTGCCGTCTGTTTGTAGCTTTTGGCCGTGCTACAATTCCTTGGAGCTATTCAAGGGGCCGCGGTACGTCAAGTGAGTCATGAGTGGCCCCGGCTATCTTGGTGGTCCTTTAGTAAATCCGCGCTATGGGCTTTTTCAGAGGTCCCATTTAGTTTCATGAGAATTTTCCACCTTAGGGTCATTGGCCCGAGGCACGTGTCCGTTTCAAGTTTGATTTCGTCAGGTCCTCTTGACTTATCAGGAATTCTCATCAGGTTCCTGATCTGGTAGGAGCCTGTTTGACTGCTAACGCTCCGTGACGCCCCAGGGGGCTGCCTGAGCGCACACTGGGCTTATGTCAGTTGGCCCCCGTGATCACACCAAGCGTGTTTTGAAAGATGATATGAGCACATTTCATAGCATAAGATAAAGCACGGACACTAGCTGTACTGCTTCAAAATCATTCACAGTCATTGCCAAATCGTCCTCAGATTTTACACTCTGCTGCATATCTGTTTTGGTAGTTATTTATGTACTTCATTATTTTCATTTGGAAGGGGAAAGGGCGTCACCGACAACAGTTCGCTTTCAAATCAAGCCCACCAGTGCGTCCGAACGGATCACCTCCGCCTGCGAATAGCAGAGCTTCCCCTCCCCCCCCCCCCCCTGCATCGCAGCCCGCAGATCCGCCGCCTGGCCCGGACCAGCGGGCGGCAGCAGCAGCAGCAGCGATGCACATGTCATACCTGGTGCCTCGAGCCCCGCTTATCTGCCCGTCCACGGCGACTCCGCCTCCAGAGGTCGGAGACCGGAGCCAGGCGCACGGGCAGGCGATGCTCGAGTCGGGCACCTCGCCGCCCCCTTGCCGACGCCCAGTATTGTCGCCTCCGCGTGCCCCATGCCATGCCAATGGCTAGCGGCTCGCAATTTTTAATCCTCAGCGATGACTAGACACAAGGCCACACACACACACACATACACACACACACACACACACACACACACACACACACACACACACACACACACACACACACACACACACACACACACACACACACACACACACACACACACACACACACACACACACACACACACACACACACACACACACACACAGATACCCACATACACACACATGCGCGCGCGCGAGCGCAGACATACAAAGACATCAGCACAAAGCAGGAAGCCTTCCTGTCTGAAACCAGTCCTGAGCGCGCCTCTGGCTTACGCTAGGGCTTGTCATTGGGGCCCCGGAGCGACGTGGCGCAGGTAGGAGTCAGCCGTCGTAACTCTGCGAATACATGTCGTTAACCCAGCACTAAAACCCGCCTGCTTCCTCCGGCGCGAGGCTGGTTTTCAGTGATGCGCACTTCGAGGACCGTGACGCCGCCATCACGGGATGGCGGAGGGGGGGGGGAGAAGAACGGGGGCGGGAGAAGGACGTTTAGGAGGACTTCCTGTTAGACGCCAGCCCAGACATTCCAGAACGTCGTCTGCGATACCATTCGCTGAAAACACAGGGAAACTGACCGCTGGAAGAAACAAACCGAATAATGAGAGGAGAACGCGGTTTGGGAAGAAATGATTGGGTGCAGCCTGTCATCTGAGCTACGACAGCGCTGCGTTCACGGTGGCGCGCTGCGTACCATAGCCGTGCACGGTTCGATGGGTGCAGCGCATTTTCTACCGCACAGGCAAGCGCTGCACGTATAGGTGAACTGTGCATGTTGCATAACGCTCGAACAGGCTGGACGACTCGGACTGCGGACGTCCGTTATCAATGAAGGAATGCTTTTTGGTTGTTTTGAATGGACAAAACCGCGACGCGAGCGAGCGCACCCCGGTTGCCGGTGTTTCTTTTCTTGTTGCTTGAGATTTACAGCAGCCGACGTGGTGCCACGTTTGGCGGTGGATGGGAATCAATGTGTC